GGTCGATCGAACACCAGCCGGATGCGCTCTCCGCCCAGCGTACAAATCCAGACGGCCTCCCCATGGCCCGACCCCACCCTCCTACCCCTGCCCCTCCACCTCGCGCCTCCGCACTCCCCCACCCCCGCATCCGCGACCACTCCCACTTCCGCGCATACTTTGTGCAAAGGACCATCTCGCGATGATTGCCAAAACATTCGACGCCGTGCAGGAGCCGGTTGTCCTCCACGAGGACCTCAAGACGACCTTCACCGGAATTGTACACCCCATCTCGACCCCTGACGCCCCCGTTCACCAGTATCGCGGGATCAAATACGCGTCTGTGCCCGCCCGCTTCCGCCAGTCCAAGCTCTGCACCCACTACCCCCCACAGACGGACTGCTCCCGCTTTGGGTATGTGCCACCACCGTGTACGCGTCGCGGGTTGTTGATCGTAGGTGTAGGCCAATATGCCCCCAGCCAAAATTCAAGAGCATCGAAGAGGAGCTCTTCAACCTCACCGAGGACTGCATACCCGACCAGGCGCTCCGACAGTGTGAGTTCGAGTGCCTCAACTTGAACATCACTTGTCCTGCGGACGCAACGCCCGCCTCGCAATATCCTGTCATGATCTGGATCCACGGGTGTGTATCGGCGGCCTACACCTCTAACGCACTGCAGCCAGCTAACAGCCTTTAGGGGTGCGAACCGTGGCTCTGGGTCGAACTGGATAACGGACGCCGGTCCGCTCGTCCAGAAGAGCATTACCGCAGGCCTGCCCGTGGTGATCGTCTCAATAAAGTACGTGTCGTGTTCGCTGCGTCGCTGAAGTCCCGCATGTCCTCCACCCGGGGGCTGAACCCTTGTGTCTAGCTACCGCCTGGGCCTCCTGGGCTTTGCGGCCAGCCCGGCCCTGCGCGACGACAACAAGTCAGCCGGCGACGAGGGTGTGGGCAACTACGGTACGCGCTTCGTCTTCTATTCTCACTCCCCGCCGGGTGCTGATGGTCGGTCGCTCTAGGCCTCCGGGACCAGAGGCGCGCGATGGAGTGGGTGCACCGCTACATCCGTGCGTTCGGCGGCGACCCGACGAACGTCACGCTCTTCGGCGAATCCACGGGCGCGGGCGACATCCTCTGCCACCTGCACTCGGCCGCGAACGACGTTGCGCCGCTGTTCCACCGCACGATCATCCAGAGCGCTATCGTCGACCTGGAGGTGCCGAACGTGCACCAGACGGGTTGGCAAATGTCGAAGCTCGTGTCGCCGCTGCGCGTGCAGACGATCGACGAGCTGCGTGCGGTCGATCCGGAGAAGCTCATCGCGTTCGCCCCGGCTTTCCATGCGACGGACGACGGCGTGTTCTTCCGCAAGTCGTGGACCGGCTCGTTAGTCAACGTCGACGAGACGGCACCCCATCAGCACTCGGGCGACAGCGTCGTCGTCGAGCTAAATCACCACTCACATCATCTAAAGATCGCGCCGCATCTGGCGCACGACAAGTCGCGCTCGCACTCGCGCACGCGGCATGCCCAGCCTGCCAGCCACCAGCCGGTGATCATCGGTGACTGCGGCGCGGAATCTCTACTGTGGTCTCTGCCTGCCTCGCTCTGGACGGCCGCGGGCGCGGTGAAGCGGATACGCGCGATCTGCCAGTCGCTGAACAAGGCGAACGTGCTGCTGCGCCTGTACGACATCAACGCGTACACGCCCGCGGATGAGCTCCCGGACCGCCTGCTGGAACTCATCAACGACACGCGCTTCGCGTGGCCGACAGACCTCATCGCTGCGAGCTTGCGGGCGGAGCGCGGCGGGCATGGCGTCTGGCGGTACGTGTTCGACCAGGAAAGCCCATCGCGTGGGCTGCCGCACCACGCGGTGGACCTGATGTACATCTTCGACAACGTGCCGCTGCCTTCCCTGCCCACGCTATCGCCGTACGATTGTACGGAGCCGCGCGAAGACGGGTTCTTCTTCACCCCAGACTCGGACGACGAGTGCGCAATCGCCGCCGCGGCAAAGAAGGCGGCGGCGCAGGCATGCGCGGTCGCGGACGACTCGGACTCGGAAGACGACGGCGCGCCGGGGTACGACTACGACGCGGACTGGGCGATGCCGGTCGTGGACGACTGGACGTACGCGCGCGTGCGGAACGGGATCCAGGAGCGCTGGCTCACGTTCGCGCACGGGCGGGCGCCGTGGCGCGCGGAGGGCGTGTACGTGTTCGGGCCCGAGGGTGAGGTCGGCGAGCGCAGCCTGAGCATTTTCCAGGCGAGGCGGAGGGCAAGGGTGTGGCGGGAGGCACTGGAGCCGCTCGGGATGGAGGTTGTGCAGAAGCTCGGTGTTGAGCTGTGCAATGGCCCGCCTGTCGACTCGCGCTCGTATTACTGAGCGAGCCTTCCGCTCGCGCCCCTTCTCTTCTCATTGGGTTCTCGGATGCTGCATTTATGGATAATCTTGCAAGTCGCTGCGCGCTCACATCTAGCTATGTATCAGTATCTTACCATGTTGTTGTTGTTGTCCACTACGCTAGTATACCATGCCACACATATTCAATCGAACACATCTCAAATAGTCTTTCCTGGTGTGTATATATGTGCATCCGCGACTGCTTCGCGAGAAGGAGGTTCGGCGCGGGAGGAGAAGGCGGAAGCTGAATTTGAAGGATCGAGTCAAGATCGTGCGCACGTGGGTGCCATGTGGCCTGCCATGTTATGGGATGAAAGTTGTGACTTGGTTTATAGCACCAGCCCCGCAGTTTTTTTCAATGTTCCGTCTGCTCTCTCGTCCTCTCCGCTCGCCCACCCTCGCCCCCGCCCTCCGCAGAACGATGGCCGCCACCCCGGACTACGTGCGTGCCCCGTTTCTCCCGCTCGAACCACCGCTTACCGTGCGCTATCTGTGCAGAACAAGGTGCTCTATGCGCCCCTCGCCGAGATCGACCCCGAGGTGCAAAACATCATCGACAAGGAGACATGGCGGCAGTTCTCCGGCCTCGAGCTCATCGCGTCTGAGGTGTGTTAAGCCCCCTCCGCTGTGCAATGTTGTGGCGGCGCTAATGCGGGGATGCAGAACTTGACGAGCAGGGCGACGATGGAGGCCAACGGCTCGATCCTCACCAACAAGTACTCGGAGGGCCTGCCCAACGCGCGCTACTACGGCGGGAACGAGTACGTCGACGAGCTCGAGCTGCTGTGCCAGAAGCGCGCCCTCCAGGCGTTCCACCTCGATGCGGCCCAGTGGGGTGTCAACGTGCAGCCCTATTCCGGCTCCGTACGTACAATGTTTGACGTGTGGCACAATGTCGGTCGCTGACTGCTTATCTTTGCAGACTGCCAAGTTCGTAGACTCGGTTGCGTGAAATGGTGGTCGGCTACTGACGGTTTGTGCAGCTTTGCGGCCCTCACTGCCCTTATCCAGCCCCAGGACCGTCTGATGGGTCTTGGCCTCCCCGATGGTGGTCACTTGACGCACGGTTACTACGTACGTACATTGCGGCCTCTGCACTGCTCAGCACTAACTCTGCCAATTTCAGACCGCTAAGAAGAAGATGACGGCGTCGTCGATCTACTTCCAGTCGCTTCCCTACGGCCTCGACCCCGCGACCCAGCTCATCGACTACGAGGGTGTCGCCCGGCTCGCGAAGATTTACAAGCCCCGTCTCCTCATCTGCGGTGCGTCCGCGTACCCGCGTGACTGGGACTACAAGGCCCTCCGCGCCATCGCGGACGAGCACGGCGCGTACCTCATGGCCGATATCGCCCACACGAGCGGTCTCGTCGCTGCGGGCGAGCTCGCGGACCCCTTCCAGTACTGCGACGTCGTCACGACCACGACGCACAAGACGCTCCGTGGCCCTCGTGCGGGTCTCATTTTCTTCAAGCGGGATGCGGACAAGGCGAAGGACCTCGAGAAGCGCATCAACGACGCTGTGTTCCCCGCGTGCCAGGGTGGCCCCCACAACAACGTATGTTGCAATAGAGTCGTAGCTATATATTCTCGCTGACCCTCCCGCTTGCAGACCATCGCTGGTATTGCTACTGCCCTCCTCCAGGCGTGCCAGCCCACCTGGAAGGCGTACGCCAAGCAGGTCATCGCGAACGCGGCCACTCTCGGCAAGGAGCTCGTCGAGCGCGGCTACAAGCTCCAGACCTCTGGCACGGACAACCACCTCGTCCTCTGGGACCTGCGCCCGCTCGGGCTGACGGGCTCAAAGCTCGAGAAGCTCTGCGATCTCGTCGGGATCACGATCAACAAGAACGCGGTGTCGGGCGACGCGTCCGCGCAGGTCCCTGGCGGTATCCGCCTGGGGACGGCTGCGCTGACGTCGCGCGACATGCGTGAGGAGGACATGAAGGTCGTCGCGGAGTTCCTGCACCGTGCGGTGCAGACTGCGCTCGTGCTCCAGAAGGAGGCGGGCAGCAAGCTCTTGAAGGACTTCGTGCGCGTCGCGAGCGTGCCCGAGGAGGGCAAGGTCGGCGCCGCACAGGTGCAGGACATCAAGAAGGAGGTGCAGGCGTTTGCGCGCAGGTGGCCGCTCCCTGGTGTGGACGTGTCGCAGCTGACGCGCCCTGCCGGTATCGAGGAGTAAATCGCTGCGCTGCTGCTGCTTAGAGGGGTGTGTAACATATTGTGGTCGTGGTTGGAGGAGACGGGGACGCGGTCGTGTTGGATAGAGCTCGCGAAAGTAAAATAGCCTGTCGGGTGTTCAACATAATCCGGCCCTCCCAGACGTTCAACATCTCTGGGTCGTACATCTGTATTAGTAGATTCCACTCACTATCGTCGCTCTGCAAAACATATTGCTGTACATGTATACAGATATATGGCCTGGATATCTGTTCGAGTGACGCTTGTGTGCGTCAAAAGGAAGACTGTTAAATGTCACGAAGAGACTTTGGGTTGTTGGCTGATCAGATTGTACTCCTCGCCAGAAAATGAGCTCCAACTGACGATACCGACAGTTGCACTGAGCTCGAGGACGTATATCCACATGGGCGTGTGGGCGGAGCAAAACGACGCTGCCCCAGTGAGGCTCGAACTCACGACCTTCCGATGGCGTTAAAGTAACAGTCGGACGCTGTAACCAACTCAGCCATGGGGCAGTTATAGATGATAAATACTGTGTGGTTATCTCAACAAAACCGTTTCCTAGTCAATACCGCACTCGGGAGAATGCGGGACACGTGCTCGGCCGCTCGGCGAGCGCTGTGTGGACTGACGAGCTCGTCGCCCTCGCCGTTCTGTCCAACTCTCCGTCTTCACGCCCGGTCGCGTTCACCATGCAGCCCTCTCTCATCCGCCGTCAGCTTGGTGGCCTCGTCCCCCCCAAAGTCGCCACCCCCTCCCTCCTGGTGAGTGCCCGTCACAGCGCCAGATCGCGCCAGCACAAGGATTTTTCGCTGACTGCGAGCGTGTGCTCGTCTCCGACAGTCCTCTGGCTCAGGTGCTGGCCTTGGCCCGCTCGTGAACTTCTACTCCAAGCTCCCGAAGGGCGCCGCGCAGACGACGGCGTCGGGGGGCATCAAGGCCCGCTTCTTCAACGGCAAGAACGCGTCCGCCGCGCCGCTCCTGTTCACCATCTTCGGGATCTTCGGTATCGGGTACACTATCGACTACCAGAGTGCGTCTCTTCTAAGCTTGCTGCTGAGCTTTTGCTGACCGTGTCAACTATTACTTTGCTTGTGTCGGTATTTGGGACTACAGTGCACCTGAGTGAGTGTCTCGCGAGGAAATAGGCTGTGCTCATTGCTGACCCTTGGCCTGTTCATCAGAGCACCACAAGAACCACGCTCACTAAGCGCATTCTTCGGAGAGGATGCGAGCGGTAGAGATGGCAGTATTGTATCTGGACCGCTAAATGGCATTCGTTCCCGCTGTCCCTCCGCCCCGCCCGCACCTGCAAGCACACGTCCTAGTCAGTATTCTTCAACACAATGCCTCGCTAAACCCATGCCTCTGTCGAGTCATCGCTACCCCTTGCCCTATCCGTCCGATTCTACAAGATGGACGTCTCCCGCTTCACCGGCGTATTGCATCTGTGGAGGTCCGCAAGCGGAAGTCTCGAGTCGCTGGATGTGCATTTCGTGTGCTCGTATAACGAGCAGGTTCTAGGCTGGTATTGAGCTCCAAGTACGCTCCTAGCTCGCGTACCCCGCATCGCTGCATTACTGTGGTTTGGTGAATGACACTTACGGACACCTGGGGAAAATATCTCGTGGGAAGTCTCCCAGATTGAATCGGGTAGTTACGTACCTAGGAGGTTGGCTGTGGGCTCGCTACTTGTCCTGTAACCACCAGCCCTTTCACGCTTTCGTGTCGTCTCAACATGAGTACCAGGAAACTCAACGCCATTGAACGCAAAATGCATCAAGCTGCACTAGCGAAAGCAGACAAGGTTCCTATACATTCAGTCGGGACAACACGACAACAACTGACGCGCCAACTGTCGTAGATCGTAACCCCTAGAGAGCTCGAGAACTTCGTACCGGATGCCAGTACGCGTCTGGCTGCCGTCAATTTCCTGCTGGGAACGGTAAGTACCTATTCGATCGTAGCGGGGTCCAACCTGACGGTGTACCATACAGGGTCTATTTGTCCTCCTGAAGGGAGAGGAGTCACAGATAACGTACCGCGCGGTCACCCAGGAAGAGCTGAGCTTGTGAGTAGTAGGCATTAGTCTTCTCCAAAGGCGCATGTTGACGTATATTGCAGAAAGAAGGGCTTGGATAACGAGGAGGGCCTTGTACTGGATCGCATCCGCACAGCTGGGGTCGAAGGTTGGCTTGCTGTTCGAAGCCGCTGGAGCTCCGACGTGAAATTGACTATATGCAAACAATATAGGGATATGGACGAAGCATATCAAAGCGAAGACACAGCTACACCAGACTGTCGTCGATCGGTGCTTGAAGTCTCTCACCAAGAGGGGGCTGGTCAAGACCGTTCCCGATGTGCGGGTATGTAGCTCATGCGTCCACTCTTGATACACCTCGATAACGTCCGATTTGTATAGCATCCGACTCGTAAGACTTACATACTGGCGAACTTACAACCTGCCACGGAGTTGACGGGCGGTCCGTGGTACACCGATAAGGAGCTTGATACCGAGTTCATCAAGCTCCTGTCCGATGTATGCCTGAAGATTGTGCGAGACAGGGTGAGTGGACCTTCCTGCGCCATGCACGTTCACTCATGGCGATAATCAGAGCTTCCCGAGGATGAAGGGGCTACAGGAAACAGAACACAGGCCACTATATCCGTGCTCTCATACGGCATATGTGACGTCGCAGCAAGTCCTTGTGAGAGCCGTCTCACGCGGTGACGAGAATTTCGCACTGATAGTACATGCAGACCTTCTTGCAGAAGAGTAGGGTGACTGAGACCGCGCTTACAGTCGAACACGTCGAGATGCTATTGGACGTGCTGGTCCTGGACGGCAAAATCGAGAAGGTCAGTCCGTCCTCATGTCGATTGCCGCGGGCTCCTCCATCTGACGAGACGCTGCACGTAGATCCCTGCTTTCCGTCTCCCACCTTGGCACGATGAAGCAGACATAACCGAGGCCAGTCCATCAATTGCGCGGACTGCGAGCAAACGTAGGCGTGTCGAATCATCGAGTGACGCGTCGGACGAGGACCGGCGAAAGAGCGCGAACAGCTCCGTGAGAGGCACTGTGCGGTCAAATCGCGTCTCGAAGCGTCTGCTGAGCGGCGACGATGCCGATGCCGACGACGACCGCAGGCGAAAGAAGCCGAAGGTGGAACACAGCGACCACTCGTCTAGCGGTTCGGACCGTGCCAGTTCGCCTCCCCTAACCCTTCTCTCCGAGCAGAATCCAAGGGAAGACGCGCATTACGGGAGTGGCGTCGTATACCGAGCCATACACGAAGAACGTCTCCCTTCCCTTGGCATCAGTCAGGCCCCGTGCCTACGATGCCCCAGATTCGACTTCTGCAGCGGACAGGGTTCCGTCAACCCCAAGGAATGCGTTTATTACGAACCGTGGCTCGTTGTCGCCCCAGTCGTGGACGTCCAGTCCTAGGCTTGCGCAGTAGACGAAGCTGTCAGTGTGGGAGGAGTGGGCGACGAATATTGACGTCTTCGTAGGTGCCTACTCGTGCCACATCAGTTCTTAGTCTATCGAGACATTTCTGGGCCGTTAAGATCGGGGTCGCGTCTGATAATGCTCACTACGGTGAAGTACCCTCAGTTCGTAATGGACGGGTAACCTTCAGGCTCGAGATCAGTGAGTGACCATCCACGGCGATTACTGACACACCACTAGCCTGTCAGCTTGCCTTCGAACCCTTCACACTCTGCATACCACCGGACACCCCAGAAGTCGGCTGTCCACCCTCATCAGCACGAGATACAGGGGTCTGAGGAAGGACTCCGCCATGTCATGGTAGATTGTGCGACGCCCGGGTATAAGGGCACGGTGCACCGCTGGGAGCATTTCACCGCAGTCGTTGTGGTATGCGAACCGACTGAGACATGATGTCAGTGGTTCTTGGGCCCTCCCGTGCTTAGGCACGCGCCCACAAAGGGGCACTCGTGACGGCGAGTTCGTTCTCCGGGACACTTGCGCGCCGCGAAGCCGAACTCTGAGCTAGATACGGACGGCCGTTTCCCCGTCCACAATCAAGAATTCAAGCATATATTAAGGTGGGAGGAGTGCACATTGGGCGAACCCCAGAACGCACCCCCGGCCCCTCCATCCTTCATTGCTACCTCGAATCCGTGAACATGCTTACACACGTCGTCAGAACGCGCCTGCAAGCTGCGCCTGCAGCCTCTGTGCTGCCCGCGAGACTAGGCCGCGCTGCGTTCTCGAGTACTGCTCGCGTTCGTTCGAAGGCCTCCGCGCAGGGCGCGCTGCCGCCCTACGGCCCGGTCGGCGTCACCAGGGCCCTCGAAGCCTCGTCTTCTGCGCGTACGTCCCAGCCCCTCGTGCCTGCCCGTGTGCGTTCCAAAATGCTCATGTACTCACAGGCGCGGCCCCCACGATCTTCGAGCACGAGTTCTCGCTCAAGGACCGTGTCGCGCTCGTGACGGGGGCGAACCGCGGGATCGGGCTCGAGATGGCGCTCGCACTGACGGAGGCGGGCGCGCGGACGGTATATTGTGTGGACCTTCCGAAGGAGCGTGGGGAGGAGTTTAGGAAGGTGGAGGCGTATGTGGGGAAGATGGAGGGGAAGGGGAGGTTGGAGTACGTGAGCGCGGATGTGACGGACCAGGTAGGTGCTCGCAGTTTGCGTTCAGGGATGGACACAGCTGATGGAGGATGGGCGTCGATTTACAGGAGACGATGTGGAAGCTCGGAGAGAAGATCGGGAGTGCTGAGGGCCGTATGGACGTGTGTGTCGCTGCGGCGGGCATCCTCAAGGGCGACATGAGCTGCTTGGACTACCCGGCGGAGCGTTTCAAGGAGGTGCGCACCTATTATTCCGGGGTTTACGAAGGACGCTGAAGAGACCACGTGTTTGCAGGTCCTCGCAGTGAACGTCAACGGCGTCTTGTATACTGCGCAAGCGGCGGGCCGCCAGATGGCCAAGTTCGACAATGGCGGGAGCATCATCTTGATTGGTAGCATCAGCGGGAGCGGCGCGAACCAGGTACGTTGAACACCTTCCCGCCGCATATCTACCAGGTATCTGACGTCGCGTCGCAGGGGCATCCGTGGGTGTCGTACAACACGTCGAAGTCGGCCGTGCTGCAGATGGCGCGCAGCATGGCGTGCGAGCTCGGCCCGCAGAGAATTAGGGTCAACACCATCAGCCCGGGGTACATCAACACCACGTAGGTCGCGTTCGCTGTCACTCCTTGTGTTAGTGTCGCTCACCGAATCGGGGTAGCATGACGGCGCAGTTCCTCGAGAAGCGGCCGGAGCTGCTGGAGAAATGGTGCAGCAACAACCCGATGGGCCGTATTGGGCGACCGGACGAGCTGCGCGGGGCGACTGTCTGGCTCGCGAGCGACGCGAGCACGTTCTGCACGGGCAGCGAGTGAGTTCTTCTCATCATTTGGGAGGATACGCTGGCTTACCTTATTCGTTACGCGATCCAGTATCGTTGTCAGCGGAGGACACCATGCTTGGTGAGAAGCGTCTAGGTCGCGGTCGCGGTCGAGGTTGCAGTCGAGGTTCGGGGAGGATTCGTGTACATCTACTGTCAGGTCTTGACTTGTATAAATAGTCTTATCCGCGCGGCAGAGTTCGAGATCGATTGGACGTCCTGGTCTATGGTCAGCAGTGGCGGCTTGTACTTGTTAGCGTTAAGTGTATGTTGCCTCGTTGCGAAGGACAATTTCAAGATGTCTAGGCTGCCCTGTTGAGAAATACCACATAGTGGGCGACGAGACCGGCGGGTTGAAAGTATCGGCGGTAGAGGAGACATAGTCTCCGTTGCCGCCTGTAATAGAAATGGATGACAGTCGATCAATTTCTTATAACAGTCTGCACCGGTACGCGCTCAAAACCCGACCCTTGGCCTTGAGCTCTGCGCTTCGGCGCTTATCACGCTGTTCAGCCAATCAGAGAGTGTATGAGACAACACCAATGAGTCATGCGCCCCCAAATGGCCAATTGGGAAGATATCCGCGTCAGCATTATGACCTAAGCACCCTCAATCCTCGAGAGGCCCTCGTCCGTTTCTGGCGTGTGCATGGCACGGACATAGAAGCATATGAGTTACAGATATTCGAGATGGCAGTGGGTGTTCTCAGGGATTGCAGCTCTGTAGTGAGATTGTCTGTTGAATATCGTACTGAGTAAACACTGGGCTTTTTCAACTTTCACGGTGATCATGAACCCTCTCAATATCGCTTCTTCCGTGCAGCTTTCCCGATAAACTCAAATATTACACGTGTGCCCCCCTGCGCACGCTCCTGATCGCTCGCAGAGAACGCTGATACAATGGGGTTTGAGGGGACGATCGCGGTTTCACCGATGGAGCTGCAACGTTAACCACTGGCACTGGCATGTACCGGTACTCCCACCTCGCGCCGATTGTAGGCCGTCTGCGCACAAATATTTGACGAGAAACTCGCACAGTGCTGGGGAACAACTTTTGGCTACTATCATGCTCACACAGCTGGCGAGCGAAGTGGTGAAACAGCATCGACACTGACTTCTCTCGCTTTACCTCCGAGCACGTTGTTGTGCTTTATTGACGCGTTGCAGGGGTCACGTGATGCCAGTGCCAAGGGGCGGGTAAACGTCGCGGAGAGATAAAGCTTAAAGACTAGAGGAGACATGGAAGAAGGAAACAAAAAGGGGCCTAACAGGGAATTGAACCCTGGACCACTCGCAAGTGAGAAACACCCAAAGCGAGTATCATACTTCTAGACCATTAGGCCTTGCATAGGGGCTGGCCGCACATCCACAGGTATTGTTGAGGATGCTCCAGCGGGATCGAGCCTGGACGGTGGCCCCGAATTTCGAAAACTCGACGGTGGATCTTGTGTCCCTTCGAATACAGTGATCATACAACACCTGGGAAAGCGGAAGTCATACACCCAACATATACTCCATCACCGCGTACATCCTACACGCTCATCTTCATAGCAATGCTCGGGTGGGGGTCGTAACCCTCCACGATGAAGTCCTCGCTCCGGAAGTCATCGATGCCCTTGACTTTGCGCGCCCATCGCAGCTTGGGGAATGGCCTTGGCTCGCGCTCGAGCTGCGTTTTGAGCGCGTCGACGTGGTCGCGGTAGACGTGCGCGTCTCCGAGCTGGATGATCAGCTCGTGCGGGACGGTATCGGTGACGTGCGCGACCATGTGCGTGAGGAGGGCGTAGGACGCAATGTTGAAGGGGATTCCGAGCCCCAGGTCGGCGGAGCGCTGGTACATCAAGCAGGAGAGCTTCGGCTTCGCGGTGGGGTCGTCGGCGGGCGGGAGGTGGACGTAGAACTGGCACATCATGTGGCAGGGCGGGAGTGCCATCTGTGGTATATCTGCGCGGTCGATGTCAGGACGCGTGTAAGGACGTGTGCAAGAGGAAAGGACGCGCCTGCGGGGTTCCACGCGGAGAGGATGATGCGGCGGTCGGTGGGGTCGTGCTTTATCTTGCGAATGCACTCCTGGAGCTGGTCAACGCCCTTGCCCGTGTATTCCGCGTCGCAGTCCTCATACGAGGCGCCAAAGTGCCGCCACTGGAAGCCGTAGACGGGCCCGAGGTCGCCCGCGCGCCGGTGGCCCAGGCCGCGCTTCTCGAGGAACTCCTTGGAGCCGTTACCGTCCCAGATCTTGATGCCCTTGGCGGAGAGCTGCGTGGAGTCGGTGCAGCCTTGAACGAACCAGAGTAACTCCTCGACGATGCCGCGCAGGAAGGTGCGTTTTGTAGTGAGGAGGGGGAGGGTGTCGTCGGCGAGGGAGAAGCGCAGGTTGGGGGGCGCGAAGAAGGAGAGGGTGCCGGTGCCGGTGCGGTCCGGGCGGGGCGCGCCGGTGTCGAGCACGGTGCGGATGAGGTCGAGGTACTGCTGCTCGTCGTGGGGACGCGTCGGGGCTTGGGGCGGGGCACTAGCAGTCATCACGGTATACGGGAGAGACGCGTTGTTTGGCTCTGTTGACGCGCCGGTCTTCAGGTAGAATTCGCACTCGGAAGCATCACACAATTGATCTCAAACCAGTTCAACCAAGCTTATCATTGTACGTTCGCTAATATTACAACGCTACACAATACACCATGGTAGGCAAGGACGGGTAGCGCAACCGCGAAAGTAACTGCACTAGAAGCGCGACCGTCTTGAACAAGGCCTCCTCAAGATAATCCACTACATTCACCACTACTCTGAGTCTGAGTCAGCGTTGATTGGGACCACCGCCTGATCCGGATTCTCCTCGAGCTTCTTGAGTAATCCTGATGTCACGTAAATTCCTAGCAGCTTCCTCATGTCTAGGCAGTACCGTTTGCGTAGTCTCGGCTCCTTCAACAACTCCTGCAAAGAAACGAAGCATTAGCGCCAGCTTATGAAGCAGGAGCAACATGCATCATTGAAAGAGTCAGTTGATCCTACTCACCGCAATCATGTAATCGTTGAACGTGGGCACCCGTATGGCCCCTTCGGGATAGACCCCCAACGGAATGGCTTTTACGTTTAGGCCGACTGCCTTCCGGGTCTCCTCGTCTGCTATGACGCTGTTGTAGCAATGCACGAACTTTGCCAGACGAGCACGCTCTTCCTTCGTTATATCGCGAAGGCGCTCAGACTCTCCTCTGCGGGTGCCGATGACGACAACGAGCTGCTTGCGGACATCGTCGGGGCCCGTCCCTCCCAACTCGTGCGGTGTCTTGAAATCAATGGCTAGGTAATAGCATCGGGCACGGTCAGCACGTCACGCATTAGGTGGTCCGCGGTTTGAAGTATGAAAGTGACTCACAGCATGGCAGAACAAATCGACGTCGGGTCTCCGAGGGAGCCTTTGTCTCACGCACCTCCCGGAATAGCGCTTCATAGAGGTGGTTGGACTGGTTGTCGAAGTTCCACTTCTTGGCGCGCAACTCGTTATCGTTGTCGTCCGGTATGACGGGAGGCTCTTCCAGTGTCGCGAAGCGCTCGGGTTCAAACTTGATACCTTGCTCAAAGAAAGGACGGAGTATGTTGGGTTTGAGAAAGCCTACGAGATGATACGTGGGTGCCGCAGGCAGCGGCGGCGAGTGGGACGTAGACATGGTAGACCGATTTGTACAAGTGTCTGGTTGTGAGAGTGAGCTTTAAAACAACGCGCGGCGCAGAGGGTGGGGGTGATTGACAACATCATGCACGCCAGTGTGCGATCTATAAATGCGAGGGTGGGTATATAGCTGTGCCAGCAGTCCAGATGTGACCCGATTTTAGCGCCAGGAGCCCGAAGTGACGGAGAAGATGCCCTCCTAACGGAATTGACGATATGCGTTGAAGTCTCGCGCGGTGCACCATCGTTGGGGTTGAGGGGGCGTTTGAAGGGCGCTTGGTCATAGCATATGTATATCTTCGTACTCACACAGTTGTTACACGTATCATCCATCCATGCGAACACCTTCCGGAGTCTGAGTCGGTACCGGTGGGCGTCAAGGAATGATTTACATAGTACATACTGGACTACGGTCGTCACCGTATCTATCTGGTAACCTGGTAGGAAAGATCCGTACCCAGCGGGGCATGATGACCGGGTACTCACAGTATATAGGCATCAGATTTGTTGCTAGATATCGCTGTTTCATGTTCCACTGGTAGCAGCGACTCGGACTCGGAGCTCGAGAGTCTCGCAAACATGATCTCGCTATCCTCTTCACGGTATGATGGCCGTCTGTCGGCGCCCTCCCAAAATCATGCATCATACGGAGGTTGCTGAGCCGCGCATAGTATTTACTGTTTCGTATCTGCCGTGATATAAGTACTAGTTTCGGATGTGCGCCAAGGACCCACTGGCACAGCTCTCACTGAGTAAGTACTGCTCCTAAATCTTCGACCGGACGACGAAACCACGTGGTACGCGGACCGGTACTGAAGTTGGTAGGTCGAAGAGACATTCGCCCGGGGAGTTACCACTATATAGCCAGCCACTGTCTCGTACTATGGAGTTCCCCATCCCACCCTCGCACCTTCGTCAACTTTCCAGTCATGCAGGCAATCCCCGCGAACCTCGAGCCGTTTTACCCCGGGGATCCTGCAATTTCAGACTGGCTACGGGAATACATACAGAAATGGCAGTGGCATGTGCCGTCCTCGCAATACTATCAATATGGCCCAATCGATAAATTCCTCAACACCATTTTCAATGAAGACAACCATTTAGTCGAACCTCAATCATGTTTCCGGAAGAAGATTAAAGAAGCGGACAATGTTGTGCTACAAATGTATACCGCCGGGATCTCAGACTCAGAATCTGACAACCCGGATGAGGACGAGGACGAGGATGGTGGAAATCCTTCGGTGTCACTCCTCAGCGCAAGAGATCAGAGAAGGGGCGAGATTCTTGCGGGTCAACTGGATGCTGGAGATATCAGCATAGATTGGAGCAGCGGCGGCAAGTCTTCAGTTTATGTATTTGAGTTCTGCGAAGTGCTGACAAGGAATAATTAATGTTTGAAGACTACGTGGATACAACCAACGAGGGAAAGTTGTACCCCGACTTCGGCGTCTCTAGGATGGTATCTCCCTGGCAAAATCAGACTCACAACCGGGTCGTGGTGCTCATGGAGATCGGGCTTGTGCCCAAACCCATTCGCACTCGCCTCAGGAGACACATGAAGGACGGTGGCAGTTTTACCTCAGCTACGACAAGGCAACTTTTGCGCAGCACCGAGGTCGTTACGGAAAAGGACAAGGTCATCAAACAACTGAAAAGATACTTGTTACGGCTTGGCCGGCGTGGCGACGGGTGGGATGTGGATGCCCTTGGGATTGCAATGGTCGGCGCCGAGGTCGCGTTCCTGAAGCCGGTCGCGAATGGCCGCCGCGATGTGATATGGCAGGCGGAGACAGGCACACCTCTTCAGAATATCAACGGTGTCGGCTGGTTCTCACTTTATGGGCCGGAATGGAGCGGTCACATGACGCGAATGAGAAATGTATAAGTACTAGTATACTACTAGTGTCGAGTATCATCGACACATACTACGAAGGAGATGACGGGGGTTTGGAATAATTGTTGCCAATCACATACATCATGTCTATACTTATTTATATCGAGAATGTTAGGAGCAGCTGTACAACACATTAAATTTATGTCAGGCACGTTTAGCGGTACCGGTTGCGAGAGAAGTTGAATGTGTCGACTTCCGTGCGGGTTGGGAGTCGGGAGAGGCATATTTGAGTCTGAGGGTACGGTTCAAATGAGATCAGGATACGTATCCAACGCTAAGCTTTGACATATGGCATATTTTAGCACAGATACGAAAGACGCGTTGTTTGGCGGTGTTGACGCGTATGGGGAGCGCGGTCACGTGGTGCGACGCGTGTGCTGACGGTTCGCTTCGTGAGCCACGCCCGTCTCTCTCTTCATCCTCCTCCTCCCTTCTCCGCGCGCCTCTCTCCTCACTCTCCTGGATCCTCCCTTCTCCTGCGCTCTCTTCATCCTCCTCCTCCCTTCTCCTGCGCTCTCCCTCTTTGCGTCTACCTCAAACATGCCGCCTACTACGAAGACGCGTATTGCCGTCCCGCGGACCACCCGGACCACCTCAAAGCCCTCTAAGCCACCATCCACCGTCTCACCCGACGACCTCGCAGACACCCTCGCCTCAAAACTCTCCATCTCCGATCCCAAGGGCAAGACCAAAGCCACTGGACCTACCCCACAGCAGCGAAAAGCTGATGCGATGCGCAACGTCAACGCCGCCTCCAAGAGCCTCTCCGCTGTCGCTGAATCTGG